AAAAAAAAAAAAAAAAAAAAAAAAAAAAAAAAAAAAAAAAAAAAAAAAAAAAAAAAAAGGTGCGAAAACAACAAAAGGGAAAAACGAAAATAAACCTGAAAAAGAATGGTGAAGTGAGCTAGAGGAGCAGTACAAGTCTTGCTCAAGGCCCCAGCTATGCCGCTGGCGAGGAGCTGGGGGACCGTCCCAATCTGCGGTACCTGCGGCTGCTGCTGTTGCGGTGGTGGCGAAGCAACTTCCTCGTGGCGGATAGAAATTCTCTAGGAATTGTTCTTATTGCCAGGAATTGAGGATGAAATTCTTCAGGATTTTGTAGCAAGTCGGAAAGTAGGTCTCTCTTTGTTCTTTCATCCAGTTTTTACATAATAAAGTTTGTTCGCTATGAACACTATTTAAGTGTTATAATTTACTAGTTTTAACCTGTGCAAATCTCGTGCATTTGTGCATTTGCAACGAAAGTCATCTGATGGAGAAAAAAATAATATAAAATATAAACGGTAGAAAAAATCATAACATAATCATTGGAAAAAAAATGTTTTAAAAAGGAAAATATAAATATTACTAAATACTTTTTTATAGACAGCGTTCGTGGCTTTCCTATCGTCAGAATCTCCATCACCACATATCATTATCTTCAAACCCCTCCGACTCGTAACTGTGGAAAGCGCCATATACAATTTGTCCATGGCTAAATACATGACTTTTTAGTAGTAAGCCGATGTACGACAGAGATTGTCCTTGACTATTTGATTGTCATCTCATAGGAAACCATGAGCGGGAGCTGTCTGCGCTGGAACTTGAAACATACCCTCAAATCTGATAATATGATTGTGATCCTAGGAATAAGAGCTTTATTCACCAGATCTGGCACAGGTTAAAATTTTATATTCGAGGACATTACTTCTTGGCTTAGTAATAACCAATCGAGTACTTTTTTATCTCAAAATCGAAAAGTAAAAACATATTGATTGAACTTGTACATAAATCAAAGAAAATATAAATTAGATAGAATTTTGATCAACAGTACCGTTGCACAACCCCATGAAGTGATCAATATTTCTCAGCAACATCACTGGAGTGCCGACCTTTAAGTGCAATTTATGATTCGTAAGCCCTGAGCACTTAATCCCATTGAGAAATTCAGGAGCATGAAGATCATAAAGAGAGTCATATCCAGTATCTGACTTGTAAGCGGTGTCCGAACTCAATTAAGTCTTTCCCTAGGAGGAATTCAATGAACTCATGTACTAATCAATGGACTCAACGACATCAAGTGTTGAAGCGAGTATGGCTCTGTCATTGAGACAGCTAAGATCGTCTCTTGAACTCCTGAACATGGGGTACGTACTCTCAACACTGCAGCAATAAGATTCCCTTCTGATTTCAAAAGAATGTCATCAGGAATGTCGATATCGGCAAAAGCATCGTCTCATCCACCAACTGTACCGTCGCCAATGCTTGCAAGCCAATCCGAGAAATGCCTCAACTCATCGTACTCGTCACCCCACCAAGGCTTCGAAACCTCATATTCCAAGTAAATCAATACAATCCCGCCAAAAATTGGATGAATTGATGGTGGCATTCACGATGTCACTCCGAGTGCCTTTAGGGACAACGGGGAGCATCTGTCTGAAATCGCCCCCAAATACATCAAACTTGCCGCCAAATGGAAGATTTTTACGGGATGGATCTGCTATTCCATTAGAGCTCGCAAGGTAGTGTCGACCGCCTGGAAGAAATACTTACTCATCATCGATGCTTTATCCCAAATGATCAACCGACTCAGTATACTCAATTCCGCCAAAGGACTTTTCTAGTTAATATCACACGAAAAACTTTCCGTTCGGTTTAGGGGGATTCTGAATTGAGAATGCGCAACGCGTCATGCAAGAAACAAAAGTGAAGCGATACCACTGGATGCAACATTCAACATTATTTTGCCTTTGGACCTCAAAGCTAAAGAAACGCCATCCAAATAGATGTGGCCAATTGTCGGGCTGGCGGGCCTCAAGCCCCTGACCAGCCTGCCCATTTATATGGGCTGGTTCAAAGAACCGTCTCTGAATCGTCAGTTCACCAACCTGGCGGGATTCGGGCAGTTCCGGGCCATAAAAAAATATTGCGGCCTGTCTTCCAACCCGCGATTCGGCCCGGCCCGGCCCGACGGGACCAAAAAAAATTACGAACTGGGACCTAACCACAACCCTACGGGTCCGGTTCGGGCCGGGTCGGTCCTTGGCCATGTCTAGCTCCAAATATAAGTTTTATCGGTGCCTCCATAACCATGTACGAAAAACAAGCTTCCGTGGTGATATAGGATATTATACTGGACCCGGTTTAATGGATAAAGCGGATACATATTAGAGGATAAGCCCACTAAGATATCTAAGACCAACGATAGGGGCCAAGCCCAACTTGGGCCCAAAAGGTACGCTCCCCCTATAAAAGGGGGCCAAGGTACCTCATTCTCTCATTCCCTACTCATTTGATGACAACACTTTCTCTCTCTTGATCTGAGCACTGACTTAGGCATTGGAGGCCCGACGCCGGGGCCACCCCCGGCGTTGGGTTCTGCAGGTGCGGAGGCCGTTCGAGTTGAAGGAGCCCGGGTGAAATCTATTCACTTCATTGGCGCCGTCTGTGGGACCCGTCAAAAAGTCAAAGCGGAGTTCCGACTGAAAAAATTGGAAAACCTCCTTCTTCTCCACCGGCCGCCACCTCCGCCGTCGGCCGCTGGAAAATTTGGAGCAAAAATTCCTCCGGGAAGGCTGTCAATTTTGCGGTCAAAGTTTCCAGATCTAGCAAAAATTTGGTCAAAATCGAGCATTCAAGTTCATTTTCCCGACGATCCGGGAAGGCTATGGAAAATCCGGGAGCACCACTGGAATCCTCTCGTCGAGGCGAGTTTCTAGGTTATCACCTCCGCCGGACACCGTCATCCGCCGCCGCCGGCCGCCGCCACCTCCGTCGCCGGCCGCCGGGAAAAAACCTCCGATTTGAAAGATCTTTACATCATCGTGAAGCTCTTCTCGGGCTCGTGCTACTCTTAAATTTTCAAGCAAAAATTTCATCGGGAAGACCGCCGATTTTACGGTCAAAATATTTGGATCTAGAACAAAATTGGTCAACACTTGATCATCTTCTTCGATTTTCCGGCGATACCCGACGAACCACTTTGAACAGAGAACACCATCGGAATCTCCTCTCCATGCCGAGCTCACCGATGGACACATTCATCGGAGACGGCGACTTTCCTCCGATGACATTTCTTCCGACGAGCCGGATGTTGGCAGATTTCAGTGGGCTGAGCGTTGTTCCACCAGCTGGCGTGAGCCCGAGTCCGAGTTCTGTCCACCATGCGAGCCCAGCACGCTGCCCAGAGGTCAAAGCCCAGGTGCCCACGAGGAGATCCAGTAAGGAGGCCCATTTCGCAGCCTAGTCTGCAGGGCCCAACTGCGCGAGGCCTAGGAGGAGAGCAAGAAGAAACAAGCGGGCCAGCTGCGGCCCGCGAAGCCCGAACACCTTCAGGTTCCAGCCCGCGCGGGCCCGCGTCCAGCCCGTGTGTGGCCCGCGCCCATCCCATATCTCAGGTTGCCT